GTGCTAGTGGATCGCCGGAGCTGTTAGATTAACATTAACATGCTTATATGTAGATCTAAGTGCAATGCCTTGCGGCCTGTAGCACCATCCTTGATGGAGCATATGTGTGGACAGGAAAGGAGTGAGCAGAGAGTAGAGTAGTTGTCGATTCTTGTTCTGTTTTCTGTGACTATCTGCCTCACCCTCTCAGACGTTCAGTTACACGCGCGCGCTACTAAAGAGACGTGTTTCCATGGAAACCAAACAATGGTGTAGCTGTATTAAAGTCCGAGTGGAAACAGTCCTGATTAAATCTGATTGTGTCATAAATCGGGAAAAGGTCATATGACTTACGGAAAGACAACTCATATCATTTTTACAAAATAAAACAAAGTTCAAGCATACATTAAACACTCTTCAAAAAAGGACAACACATTAATAAGGGATCTTTGAGCGTCAGCTACACTGCTACATTCAGGTTTCCAGCACTAAAAAATACGTGTTTGCTTTTTTAATGAGTATCAACACTGCTGTGGTGATTCATGAATACCACAGCGACACATTCCAGTCTTCTCCTTTATCCAGAGGTTTTTTATTTTGCACAACAGCAATATTATAATCCACCAGAGCTGCCTCCCCCGACAGAGAATGAGATGCTTTGTAGACACAGAGGCGGTCCCCAGGGGGGTTTATGGGCCTGTTTTTGTGTTCATAGCTGTTAGCACTACAACAAGATGAAACTCATCTAGATGTAAGGGCTCAAAAAACGGTCTATGAATTCTCAAAGTTGTTTTTTCCATTCAACATCAGCGTGTTGCATGTCCACTGAAGAGCTGTGTTTCGCTTTCTTGTTCTCATTACTTTCAACGGGAGAGCATTCTGTGAGAGCGCTGAGATTGTTGCTGCTGCTCAGATTGTGTTGGAAGTTGAAAAAGCATTTCTCGTGAAAAGACGGCTTTACTTGAAAAAGTTTTCAGTAGCAGAAGCCACAGCTACTGTTTTTATTTAGATGTTTCATTTTTTTTGTTTAGCTCAAGTTACAAATACAACTTTTTGCATCAACACTGACACTCATTTGCATTTTTTCTTCCAGGTGTGATGGGTGAATACGAGCCAAAGATTGAGGTTCAGTTTCCAGAGCTTGTTCATGTTGCCAAAGGATCCACTGTGAAGCTGGAGTGCTTCGCTCTGGGAAAGTAAGCCCACTCTTATTCAGACTCAGCATGCTCACTCAAAGCAAAAATATTACCATGGGATATTTATTTCATGTGTTTCACTGCGTTGGTGCAACCCTCGTGTGTTTCAAGTAAGGCTTCTATTAGAAAGCACATGTTGGTGTGTACCAATATTCAGAGAAATCTTCAGGTTTTGGAAGACGATGTTCTGAAGCGTAGAATTATGAACAACTGCAGTAAGCTCCTACACTTAAGGTATAAACAATATGTTGAAGCTGCCGAATATAAAGTACATTTATGGTATGGTTTAATAGTATTACTTTGATCCTTAAATGCAAATTTCCCCTCTGTGGGACTAATAAAGGTATTCTGATAAAGACCAAAGTAAATCCATAAACCCCAAAATCTTGCAAATTAAGGGACATATGAGAAATTCAAAGAGTACTTTGAGTTCTTATTAGTTTCTTAGTTTATTAAGTTTTCTTTCTCGCAGTTCAGGAATGTTGGCAATCAAACAATTGACCTTTCGCAAAGCCACGCCCCCCCTTGGTTACTGTTGCTAGTCCGACAAGCTGAGAGCCAGATGCGTTAAACAAAGCCATAATGGAGGGTCTCCGTAACGTCGGAGTCGCCTTAACAGACTCATTTTGGAGCAATAACGCAGCAATATCCTCCAGGTCCCGACAAAAGGGGCTACAATACGCTATGGAGGGTTATATCCACAGTATAAACATTAGAAAAGAGGGAGGCACAACATCAATAGAGGCACTTGCATACAGGTCGCAGTGCAAGAGTGAAAAACCACATGAGCTGTATGTCAAATTTGACGGAATTATTATTATTATTTTGGAATAAAACAATACAATCACAAGAGGCATTAAATGTTGTAGTTTGTCTAAAGTTAACTACCGTTTCCTTGGTGGCTTTCTGCATCCACCTTGTTGTTCCTTTGTGGGGGTCGGGGTGCCCACTTGTGCAGCAGGATTAGGGAAGTCGGCAGTAGGCTTTCCATTAACAAAATGCTACAAAGATTAAAGCAAAATATAAATGAATGATTGCCTGTTGGCTTTCTTGTTTGTACTTTGACCACAGGTAGACTAATAACGGAGCTCAGCTGTTCAGACATTATTATGCATCAAGTGATATACATGGTCAAAACGACCTAGAAGCACACATCTTCCAGCTGTAGTCGTGTGACTTTAGCTAACGTTAGTTAGTGAAATTAGTTAATTAAATTAGTTAGTTAATTTGTGAATGTAATCTTTGCTAGCTAGCTAGCTACGTTAGCACGTATTTACCTTGGAGCAAACGTATTTGTGTTTGTTGATATTCGCCATATTCAGCTGGGCATGGGGCCTGCCGCATTTCTTTATCCACTGGCGGCATCTCTCCTCTCGGGTTTTGGGTTTAGGAAACGGGTAAAATATCACCCCCCCCCTCTAAACTTATGGGATATCTGCTATCCGATTTGCAAAGACCATAAGCACAACGCTTCACCATTTTCGCAATGAATTTGAACGCGAAGCTTGTCGGACTTCCACAGGGAGCCGCGCACGTGATCGAATATGATTGGACAACGGGCATTTAGGGGCGTGGCTTTGCGAAAGGTCAATTGTACACATTCTGATTACAAATATTTGGGGTTTATGTACTGCATTTTGAATTGTTTTTGTATATTTTCTGTGGTAAAATAACGTGCACTTAATACAAAAAACATATACAGTAATAGCTTAATTTTGTTTTTTTGTTTTACATGTTCTGGAATTTTTGAGTGTCATAATTTAACTAATAAATATGAACTATTTTCACTATTAGACACCTTTCTTTTGCATTAATTGTGCATTTTTTAAGTTGATCATTTGGGGGTATGTGATACATATTTCTTTAGTTGGTTTCTCATAATCAGCTCTTTTTACAATTATTTCATCACTTTTATATAGCATAAAAATATAAATAAAACATGATTGTGATGCATTCAGATTGGGGATGTCTTTTGTTAGGATGATTTATAAAACCAATATCTATCCATCTTTTCAAACCGGATTATTCAGGTCTCTTGATCTTGAGGATCTGCACTTGTTTAAAAATGTGTCCACCTTTAAGAAGGACTCATTCACAAAATCTGAGTCAGTTTAACGTCTCCATGTGTCTTCACACAGCCCGGTACCGTCTATCACCTGGAAAAGAGTGGACGGTGTCCCCTTCCCCAGGAAAGTGGACATGAGGAAAGCCAGCGGCGTCCTGGAGATCCCGTATTTCCAGCAGGAGGACGCGGGCACGTACGAGTGCGTGGCGGAGAACTCCAGGGGGATGAACACAGTGAAAGGGAAGCTCTCTTTCTATGGTAGGTGATCCTGACACTCATGAATATTTGACCAGCGTGCGCCACATCTGTCAGAGCGGCTCACACTAAAAGCCAGCAGCAGCCCACACTACCCGCCTTATAAAACAAAGCGTTCACAAAGAGAAAGGCTCGTTTTAACGGCACATCAAAATGATTAAAGGCTGTCAGCCATGATGCCTTTAATATTTTGATCCAGATTAAAGGTGCGGATGAGGCTCAGCCCTTGGATACGACCTTGTTGGTGAGCCTTGTATTGGGTTCCACCAGATGGCATCATGATTGACATCCAATTTGACTGGAGATCAAAGCCGTTAAATGCACTATGCGCCAGCCAGTGGCACATATGTCAGGGATATAATCTGTGCAGAAGCATCTGGATAACCAGGAAGTGGGTTGGGACGTTTCATCTTTGTTGCTGATAGACCCGTATTTACACCTGTGGGGTTTACATTTTAGAAGTGGTAATATCTACTGCCAATAAACTCAAAAAACGGAAAATGGCCCATCGGAAAAAATTAAATTGTGCCAAATATATAGGTTTCAAATATTTCCTAATATATTTAGACCAGGGAAATGTATTCCCATTAAAAACGAAATAATGGAATACATAGGAAAAAGAAAACAAGTTGAAAAGAATATTATTATTATTATTATTATTTCCTTATTTTTTTTGAATTAATAAGAAAATATAATAATAATAATATTAATAATGGAACAATGTTATTCCCTGTAAGGGGTCACAGGTTGAAAATGTTGGCAAACTAAACCTAACCCAAACAAATGGTACGTCTTATAAAACTGGTACCAAGACTTGATATTATTTTTTGAGATAAGAAGTAGTTAAGCATAAGATTCATTTTGTGAATAACACTGAAGAAGGAAACTTGTATTGAGTCCCATTTCATCTTTATAAGTATTCAATGTTTGCAATCCTCCATGTAGCTACTGTTCTTTCAGAATCAGAAACAGGTGTATTGCCAGGTAGGTTCACACATGCTAGGAATTTGACTTGAGGTCATGGTGCATACATAAAATAAAAATATAAAAAACAAGAAATCTAATATACTGTATATATCTTTAGCTGTTAGCTTAGCCTGGCATCTTCCCACAATCACCAGTGTCATGGTCATGAATACACGGATAAAGCAGAGCCACTACATTTATATATTCATAATATTTTAACCAGGACTCATCTGTTAACTCGCTCTAACATCTATGGATTTTCCAACCACCTGAACCCCCACCTGAACCGCTCTCTGATTTCTTCCTTCTCTCTTTCAAGTCCTGCTGTGTAAAGCCGTCAAAATAAATAACTCATTTGGCGCATTAAACAATTTGTGATGATTTACAGCAGCCTGAAAGCAGAGCACGCTGTGAAGCACAAAGGCTTCATTTGTCCCTTTGTGCCGCGGCCCCTCGCTCATTTATGTTTTGAGTCTCTCTCTCCTCCTCCCGCCGGCTGCAGCCAGGTGATACAAATCAGTAATATTATTTTGAACCCCCTTTGAATTAAGCCTTTGTGACATTCGTCAGCGGTGTAAGCCAATGGGGGATCGATAAGGGGTATCTGTTGTGCATCGGAGCAAATATAGTGAGGCTTTGTGAGACAGGAAGAGATGAAGGTGTTGCTCCACGGAGGCACTTTGAAGCATCCTCACTCTCATGATGTGTTCCAGAGCAGCAGGCTTCTTGAGATTGTCCTGGAAATGAAGAAGCTATTAAAATGTAAGGTTATAAATCAAATGGATGTTCACTGCCACTTAAGATATAAACAAATCCAACCATCAAAACAACAATATCCTCTAAGTATTTTATTTTATTAACTAAATGATACATCTCACATCTTAATCTTCATATTTTAAATATTTATTGATACATTTTTATTTATAACAGTGCCACTTATTAACCGTTTTAAAATACACAGGAAACACATTTTTATATCTAGAATTAGCTATTTTTGTTTTGTATTTATTTATATATTTATCTCTTAGCTTTTTAATGTATGTATTTATTTTTGTTTACCTTGTTTTATGTTTCCTGTGTAAAATATTAAAGAGTTTTTTTAAATACGATCAAAATATAAATATATATATAATTTGCTCAATTTAGACGCTTACTTAAATATCAAGACCTCTTGTAGATAAGTATATAAAATGAAATGAAATTATAGTTTTAGTTGGTAGCTTATTTTTTTTACAATATTAACCTTGTTTCCTGTGTATTGTAATAAGGTCAATAAGTTGCACCGTTTACTCAAATATGGCAGCATCTTGAACTCATTAAGTTAACCCTTAAGTGGGTCTTTGTTGTCCCGGTGAGGTGGTTTTCTTGAAGTATCTTTGTAATTACATTTTTTTATCATTTCATATTCCAGCTATTCCTCAAAAAACGTTTTGGATATCATGCCATTCACATTTTAAATTTAACATTTTAAGAAATTTTAGTTTTTGTGTTTCTACCCCAAGCTTCCATAAGTGGGTCAAAAATGTCTAAAATTATAAATAGTGGAAAATTGAATATATAAAGTTATATTTCTAGTGTGAACCAAAATATAATACTAAATATGATATCAAAGTGATTTCTTTTAACCAAAAAGACAAAAATGGCATAAGAACACATATTATTCTAATACGGGTCCCCTTTGACCCACTTATGGAAGGTTGTAGGGTCCAGTCCCTCGTGCATCTAAGGGTTAATAAAATAACCTAGTTTAAACATATTTAAGTTTTTTAAAAGCATTTTTTTTTTAATGATGATTGGATTTTTCGGTACCACTTTACAATAAGTCTACCCTTATAGAGGGTTTACGAATAGTTTGGAATTCATTTATTAATTCGGTTGTGAACACTTTATAAATCATTAATAAGCTTTTATAAGACATGAGATGAACAGGGCAACTGTGACCGGTTGCTCGCCAAATAGTGAGCCCACATTTATCTGTACTGCTAATAAAGGCCCGGACACACCAAACTGACACCAAAGAACTGACACAGACGGACCCGACTGTTGTGTCGCCTCGTGTCCCTGCATTTTGGCCAACAGTCGCACTGGAACACACCGCAAAGACTTCAGCCGACGGCCAAGAAGCACGTACGAACTGCGCATGCGTGAGTGGCAATAACTCTCCTTACCAGCAGGCGGCGGTAGTGTGTATTCGTCATTCAAAAGAGGCAACATCCGGAAGACAGACTGCGTGATAACCGAGAGAAGAAGAACAGACTGCGTGGCTTTCCCCAACCTGTGTCGAGAGCTGGAGTTCAATGAAATCTCAGATTTGCCTTCTTAATCGTTTGTTTGGGTCCCTCACTTCCGTTTCGCTTCTCATGCACTGATTC